TATTCATATGCTCTCGCATTTTGCTCAGACAGTCGAAGCGGTGGTCGCAGCCCTTCCAGTCGCACGCGACGGGCCGGACGTAACTCTTGTCGTGAACGCGCTGGCGGTGCAGCTGAAGGTGCGATTGGACGCCAAACTGGCGGTCGCAGCCGTGATAGTCGCACGCGTAGACCCGGTTGTGACACTGTTGGCGATGGGCGCGCAGTTTGCGCGCCACGGCGTACGTCTTGGGGCACTGGTCGCAGCCGTACACTCGTTGCGGGTGTTGGCCGTCGCCGGATGGATGTACTGACCGCTGATGATCTCTGAGCGAGAGTCGCGTGGCGTACGTCTTGTCGCAGGCGTCGCACGCGTACCGATGGGTGTGAGTGCGGATATGGCGGGCGATGTTGGCGTTGCCTTTGGTCCGATAGGGACAGCCGTCGGCCGGACAGGTCAGCCACTGGCGGTCGGGGAACGAGTCCGGGTGGCAGTTGATTTGGTGCCCGTTCAGCACCGACTCGGTCTTGAAGCGCACTTTACAGCCGTCGAGACGGCACCGGTAGGGCCGGGCGCTCGAGTGGGTGACCGTGTGTTTGAACACTTGAGTGTCCCGTTTGGCCGTATAGGCACAGCCGGCGTAACCGCACCGATAGCCGCCATCGCTCGGGTATATCGGTATGTCGTTTGCGGACAGTTTGGCCGCTTTCGATGTCATTGTTTCGCCGGCAGTGACCAATTGGGCCGCAATGGCCGCGCCATCGACATCGTCAGCGGTGATCAGCAAACTCTCGTCGTTACCGCTGCTGTGGAGGCCGAGTGTGTGGGCCCTGAGCTCCATATCGGACACAAACTTCTGGGCACAAGTGTCGCACACGAACTGCTTATAGTGGGTCTGTTTGACGTGTGTCTTGAGCGCCGACAGGCAGTTGTAGCGTTTGTCGCACTGCGAGCACCGGTACTCCAGCGCCCGGGTGTGCACAACCGACCGGTGCTCGTCCAGCGTTCGCTGCCGAGCGTACGACTTGTCACAGTCGGCGCACTGGTAGCGCACGGCCTGCGCTTCGGGGCCCGTATGGCAGCGCATGTGTTTCGTCAACGCGCTGTTCACTTTGGTCTTGTAGTCGCACCGCTGCGACGGACACCGGAACCACTGGCGGTCCGGGAACTCGTCCGGATGGACGACCATTTGATGGCTACGCAAATGGGCGTCCGTTTTGAACCACTGGCGACACCCGTCGGCGACGCACCGGTACGGACGGTACGTCTTGTGCGCCGTGAAGTGGAAGACCACGTGTTTGCGGTTTTTGGTGGTATAGGAGCAGCCCTTGTAGCCGCACCGGTACCCCTCGGCGCACGTCTCTATTGGTATTTTGGGTGAGTTCTGGTCACCGGCACTGCCGGTCAGTGGCCGCCGGTTCTCCTGGTTTTCGGCCGTTTCGGTCGATTTGTTGGCTAATTATGTGTAAAAAACAATTGGATTAGTAATGAGTTCATAGAGTAAACTATTTGTCATATTTTTCAGGTTTACTGTGTATTAGATCATAGGCTCACAGCCCTTAAGGTTATGAACTATTACTTATGATTCATAAGTTATGAACATTAAGGTAATAGATTTATGGATTACACACTTCTCGTCGCGAACTACTTTATTGTACACACCTTTCAGGTAATAAACCAATCGGTTATACCCTTCAGGTTATGAACTATTGGTAACACTAGACCAGAGACTATCACTTATAGCTTTCAGGTAAAGGGTTTGTCATTTACCGAATTGTTTTAATTGATTCCCGCGATTGATGTGATCCAAGAAGTCCTCGCATTTAGTATACATACGATCGCAACCGAAACACTTGAGTGGCATCGGGAGCGCTGTCATCAGACAGTAGTTCTCGACAGTAGTCTTCGCCACCGCCGACGACAAACACTTCTTGGAACCGGTCTTCGGCTTAAGCGGATAAGACAACGATTCCTCCGCCGCGGTTCCCATCACTAGTACTTCAGTGGCCACGAGTTTAGCGTAAATATTCGAGTCATATTTGAGGTCATCGGCGGCTGTCATAAGACAATCGCGCGCTGAATAATCATTGTCACAACAAATGAGACAATCATTTACTACAAGAATCACCAGAAAAATCAATTACCAATCACTTGATGACAGTTGTCGCAGATTCGGGTAATTTCGGTGGTCTTCCGGCCGGTGGTTATCGGCTGCGGCGGTATATTATCACTCGCTATCACATCCAACAGATCCACAAAAATAAAACAAAGCAATCATTAGAAACAACAACAAAACAAAGTCTAACTGTCAGATATTGACAGCTGATCTCAAGGGGCATACCATCATCGGTAGTGGTCTGACAGCCGGTGTCCACCACTGCGGCGGCCAAACCTATCGGCGGAGTCGCCGTCACCGGTGCTGAAGAAACAGTGGATATGCTTTCATCCATGTCTTTGCGGATGCGTTGATAGTCGTGGAAGTGGTGGTCATTGGTGTGGATGAGTGTCCGGATGTGATCGCAACCACACGTGGTCTTCATGTTTACCGCGAAATGCATTATATTTTCCAAACATTTAATCAATTTCTTCGCAAACAATAACTCTCTTATGAGTCGATTGTTTTCCGCTATTATTTCCACAGACATTGTCTCTAAGAGGAGTTCCCTTATAATCGGGGTCTCACTGTATGTCCAGTGAAAAGTTTAATTAAGTTTAAATTGTAATTAATTTTTTAATTTAATTAAAAGTTTGCAAAACATTTTTGACAACTGTTTTGCTGTTCATTAGTAAACAACTGTTATATAAATTCAATCTATCTGTAAATAACGTAACCAATAGTCAAGTCAACACATTTGGTACCTTTATATACAGCACTCACTCATTGGATTTGCTTATATATTGTTAAGTATAGAAAGGCCCTAAAGGTTGTGGAAATATTTACTGTCCCCTATATATTATCACATTATTATCCATACATTACTTCTCTATGGGTAACCCCTCTATGAGTCGCGCCCCCTATCGCACCCACACCTCCCTAAATTAGTTACAGTATCTGTGAATAGGGATTAGAGTGAAAGTTATTGTTGACATTACCCCCAGTTTTAAGCCTTTTTGTGGGAAATGTTTTTTGCGATACTTTTCAATGCAATTGAAAACACAATTAGTTATCAAATGAAACAAACTTTTAATACATAACTAATTAAATGATTAGTTAATAATAATAACCACTAATAACTATCACTAATCGCAGACCACGTGTGGACTTAAACAATGGTCAGTGAGAAGGCGTTTGACGAGTTGAACGCCGATTACGAGCGACTTCTTCTGGAGCTGTCGGCCGAACGCCAGGCGCGGGAAGTGTTGGATCAGATCGCCGGCAAAGCGGTGCCACTTCTGCACCGATGCCAGTGTCGACACCAGCTGAGTTGAACGCCGATTACGAGCGACTTCTTCTGGAGCTGTCGGCCGAACGCCAGGCGCGGGAAGTGTTGGATCAGATCGCCGGCAAAGCGGTGCCACTTCTGCACCGATGCCAGTGTCGACACCAGCGCGACGAGGATGTGGTGGCGATGGACACAATCGACCAATTGATGGACGATTATCACCGACTCTTAGAGCGCGAGCGCGAAGACAGAGCCCTCGCCGCCGCCGCCGATGTCAGCGATGGCCAGACATCGCAGCCGTTGTCACAGACGCTCAACACGAAGATCACACGTGGTATGCATGAGAGAGAGAGAGAGAGAGAGAGAGAGATTAGATGTTATTTTAATTAACAATGATTTGTATATATACAGACACGAATACCCCGACGACGGCCACAACACGACACAAACGGAGTGCCAAACAAAACCCCCCGAAGAATAACTCAAAGATCAGTGACTTCTTCGCCGCCAAACCAAAAGACACAACGGAACCGTTGCCGTCGACATCAGCACCGGCTGTGCGCGTGAAACAAGAGCCCATTGATGACACCAATGGCCTCAACCACACCACCGCCGCCGCCGACGACGACTATGACTCTGACTTCGAGTACAATTGCTTGGAGTGTCCGAAGAGGTTCACTACACAGCTGTCGCTGGCCTCCCATCAGGTGAACGCCCACAACAATCGGGCGGCGTTCCGGTGCCCGAAGTGCCAGTGGGCGGGCATTAACCACAACTCACTCGTCAAACACCGGTATTCGCACACTCGCGACGAGATCATGGCCTCCGGGTTCAACTCACACGAGTCGACTGTGCAGTGGACGCCGGGCGCGCCCGCCGTTGTCGAGCGGTACGTGGTTTGCGGCTACGAGTCTGTCTGTCCCAAAGTGTTCAAGACATATATGGGTCTCTTCGCGCACGTGTCCAAAGAGCACTCCATCGAGGCGTACACCGAGTACTTTGAGAAGACACGGCAAACGAGAGGGCAGGCAGTGGTCACCGCCGATGACCAACTGATGGCCATTGAAGGCCCGCCTCCGCACGACAATAGCGGTAAATAGTGTGCAATTTTTTCGGGGTTTTGGGCATTGATTTTAACCGCGATTTGTCTTTCGTTTTGATTGGCAGATAATGAGAGACACGAGTCCAATGACGGGTTTGACGTCAATCTCGGATCCGATGGAAACGACGTCAGTATCGCTGACAACAGCTTCAGCTTCGGTACAGATCTGTTGGCAGCGCCAGCGCTCGCCGCCGATGACGACAGCGATGATGCCGTCGAGTACTACTGTCAGGAGTGTCGGGTGCCGTTCGCCACCGAACACTGTCTGCGCAAACACTTGGGCCACATTCACGGCAACGCGATGTTTCCGTGCGATCACTGCGAGTTCATGGGTGTCGACCGGGCGGCCATCAAAACCCATCGACGCCAATGCCATCGGGAACTGTTGGCACCGGGCACGAGGTCGCAGTCCCTGAAGACACCGCAGCTGCCGCTCGTGGCGGCTCTGGTCAAACGGAAACGCAAACGCCGCCCCTTTGGGCTCACCAGACGGCCGCTAAATGGCCCTAAAGTCAAAGCGCATCCTATGCTCACCACTGGCGGTCAGAATCCACCGCCTATTCTTCCGCAGCAGCCGTCAGCCATTAAGCGTAGGGTCGGTCGGCCTCGTAAGTGCCAACAGCCGCCGCCACCGGTGCCCACCCGTGTCACAGCCAATAGTGGTCCGAAGGCCAGCCAACGCCGTACGCCGTGGTATTGCGTCCAGTGTCTGACCTTCTGGCCCAACGAACTGGCGCTCAAGAAACACAAGGCCGGCGTTCATCGGGAGCCCGCGTTTGGCTGCGATCAGTGCCCCTGGAATGGCTACACTAGCAAACAACTCAATCGACACTCTCTGTGTCACCAACCAGTCGGTGGTGATGGCGGTCAAGAGGTGGCGGCCAATGGGGCGACCAATATCTCTAATTTGATGTCACACATGTACCGCAATTACTCGGCCAATGTTTTGTCCATGTTTACCGATCCCAACGCTTCCGGTATG